CAGGGGTGAAGAAAGATCAATAGGCTTGTTAATACGAACCGCGTGAAAATGATTGGAGATATTTCATTAGAGCACTAGAAAGATGTTCGTTTCATTAGATTATTTCGTTTAGTTTGACGATACCAATCCATAGTGATCGTTTGTTTTGTTCTTTGTCGAATGTATGAAAGATGTAAAACGAATTCTAGTGAAAGATGGGATATTATTCAAAATACTAGATTAGAAACTGTCAGCGTGATATACATCAAAATGACTAACCGACCCCATATTATGGTGTCAAAATGTCTGCAAACTCCTCGGTTAAAAGCCGCAAGTGCTTGACAAAACGTCTCAAAGAGCTGGACTTAAAGCACGTTCGATTTCCTCCAAAGATCGCCCCTTTGTTTCCACAACATTGCCAGCTATGTACATAACGGCCAGGAGACACACGGAAGCAAATCCCAAGTACACTGTACTGATTCCGAACTTATTCACAACGCTCAAGAAGTAGAGCCCAATCACAAAATTCGATATCTGTTCAAACGGCAAACAGCAGTGAAACAATTTATTAAGAATACCACGTGAAATAAAATGCCATTACGTAAAATAAAAGAGATGAATTGCATAGTTCAGTAGGAAAATAATTCTAGAGTTTTTACTTACCCAGTGCATGCCTAAAGATAATGCGACTGCTTTTGCTCTAATTCTCGAGGCAAATATCTCTGGAAGTAGAAGAGCAGGCACAGGACCAGCACCGAGAGAAAAGGACAACACATAACTGTTCAAGAAACATGGCTATATTTCAGAGTTGAAAAAGGTTTTATCGGTTTTAAATTTTAATAAAGTAATAGCTTTTTAGAAATAAACACGAGTTTCGAACGAAAGATACTTACAGAACAGTCCCAAGAACCGCAAGTGTGCCTGAGTATGGTGCCAGTACCTTCCATGTAAAACTCAAAGAAAGCAACAACATAGAAGCAGCCTTTGCCAGAGAAAGAAAACAGAACAATTAAAGAAAATTAATAAATAAAACTAACATAAAAACGAAGAGATAAAGACCAACAATCCGACGTACTGGATACATATGTTTTCGATCCGACATATTAAATCATGACACAGGAATCTCAAGTATGATTAAGGCAAGCTTGAGGGGTATGATAGTAAGAAAAAGCAATAATATTCTTAACAATTAAATCATATAAACCACAGAGTCGTATAGATTAAGTTATACCATTCCAGCAAAGCTTATAAGCAGAAGGCTTTTCCGTCCTTGCTTGTCCATCAATGAGGATGCAACAGTTGTTCCTAGAAGAAAAATTAACATCTTATGAGAATAACACTCACGTGACCACTAAAATCGAACATTTTTTTTTAATCCAATCGAAAACTAACCAAAAACATTAGAGGCCCCGACCAGAGCACTGGCAGCAACATCAGATGTTATTCCAGCACTGCGGAAAACCGAAGTTGAATAATAAACAACAGCATTTATCCCGGCAAGCTGCTGGAACAAGAAGAGAGCTGCACCTACACTCACAACTGCAAAACGACGTGAAAAGTGTTAGTTTCATGCACACGAAAAGGATGTTCGACCAATTTTTTATTAAATCAAAATTCACTCAATAATAGGTATAAAAAAATAAAAGATAATTCAAAAAAAAAAAGGAGAGAGAGAGAGAGAGAACTAAAAATCTCCTTTCATGATTCTTATATATTGCTAATGAAAAACCACGGTAAGGGTTCCACCAATAAGGGAAAAAGGAAGATTAAAATACTTAAACGTGAAGGAGATAAAATGGAACAGATTAAAACGGAATAGCCCATTTGGGTAGTAGGTTTACATGTCGTTCATCCCATCAACTGAGATATGGCAGATGATTGGGAAAGAGATCAAGATGAGACTATAATATTACAGGACTTTGCTATGGTAACTGTCTTTTACATTATTGAAAACAAAAGCTACTGTTCAGACCTAGCTTAAATTTTTGTACTATTGATTCTTTGAATTGGGACACTAATGGAGTTTAATGTTTTTTGGGTGGTTATTCTGCCATAAATCAAACTCATGAATCGCATACATCTATACAAAGATGTCAGTGACGATAGAAATAAGAAATAAAAGATATACCTTTAAAGTAGCGGCTGCTGAAAAGATCAAGCCACCCAGCTTCAGGTTCAGAGGAACCTTGGCTGCCTGCATCGAGATCATTCATAACCTCAGCGACTCTTTCTTTTCCATATAGCCTTCTAGCTGACACTTCAGCGTCCGAAGTTCTTCCTTGCTGAAAATAAAAATGGTGCCCCTTTTAGCACTACTCACCGAAATAAATAAATATGAAGTCAAAAAAGAAAAGAAGAAATGAATTGAGGAAGAAGAGAGATTAGATGTGGTGAAACCTGATAAAGCCAACGTGGACTTTCAGGAGAAAATGCCATTCCGATTGCCAGTAAAACGGATGGAATAACTGCAACACCAAACATTGTCCTCCACCTGATACAACATGCAGGCGCACACACAACATACGCACGCAGATTAAGAGGGTGTTTGGCTAAGCTTATTTTAAACAGCTCTTACGTCTGATAAGATGTTTTTAGAGCTGATAAGCTATTACATCTTATTTTTAGGATTAATTTTAGAGTGTTTGGATAATGAGCTTATTTCCTATTTTTACTCATTATATGATCTTAAATAAAAAGGTGGGGTAGAGGTACTTATTTAAAAAGATCTTATTTGGTCTCCAACAGCTTATTTAAAAAAAAATTAAGATCTTTTTTTAAAAATTTACCAAACACTTTGGAAGAGCTTATAAGCTCTAAAACATCTTATAAGCTCCTTTTAACATCTTATAAGCTTAGCCAAACACCCTCTAAGTAAGATAAGATAGACATTCAATCAAGATATTCAAGACAAACTGAATTCCCTGTGTAAATATGCAAAGAGAATTATGAGCAAATTATGCAAAGAGAAATTACCACAGAGGATTCCCTGCCAAAGGCAAACCAGCTACTAATGCTCCAAGGATCCCGATACATATAAATAGCTGGTTGACAGATCCAAGTGTGCCACGAATTTCCGTCGGTGAGATCTGGGAATAGAAAGAGGATCAGATGAAAGGTAAAATCCAACAAGTAATTTTTTTAATAAGATCGGAGAAATTGTACCTCGGATATATAAAGTGGTACAATAGCAGATGATATGCCAATCCCAATGCCAGCAAGTACCCGGCCTATTATCATTATCTCTATACTTTTAGCTGTGGCACTGACATTTGCAGATAGTTTAGGCACTACTTTTGTTCTAACAAAGAAAATCAAATCATGAGTTATAATATGTACCACAGGAATGCTCCTACTGTGAGTGGAATTGCATCCAACATAAAAGTCTTTGTTCGCCCAAATTTATCGGCCAATGAACCTCCAGTAAATGAACCAACAGTGGCACCAGCGAGAAGTGTGCTAACAACCCAGCCTATGATGAAAACAAATGGCACAAAGAATTGATTTCTTCAGTAAGTACGGAAGAGTCGTGCCAAGTACTAATACACTGAATGAATCACAGCATTCAAGGATGAAACAATAACATCCATTTCCTGAATAAAAAGAGCAAAAAATTGCATGGAAGGAGGTTTTATCTGTTAATTATAATGCACAATTAAACCCACTTTACAGGTATATTCAACAGGAGCCATAAAAGATGGATGGAATGGAAAAAGATACACTTTTCAACCAAAAGGAAAGAAGATATGAAGGAACTTTACATGTCTTTTAGTGATTATAGAAGATTAAAGAGTTCCATTAAAACATTGTGTATTGTATCCCAGCATAAGATAGATTTGTCTATCAAGTTAAGGCAACGTCGAATTATAGGAACATGGGAAGCCGGTACATTCAGTCACTTGAATAATATTCTCTATATTCTCTCTAGTTTCCATCCTAGTATAGAGGTTATCTTTAAGTTTGGAATGACGCTCTAGATTATGGATTTGCATGTAATTGATTCTTTTTATTCTAATTTCAATCTCGTGTCCATCCCATTATAAAGTATCAGTGGACCCTAAGAAGTGTCAGGTACTTCAAAATGCAACTTACCTTGTAACACAGGGTTCTCTGCAATCCCAAGATCCTTAGAGAGGTACTCTAGCGCTCCATTAACCACCCTGAACCAGACGAGAGTAACAAAAAAAGAAAAACATTCAAAATGCAACTTAGAAGCAACTCAAAAGAATCTGGACAAACATCAAACATCTCATAAACAGAACAAAGATGCACTTATGTCGTGCTGTAATAAAGAAGGCAAGTACCACAAAATGCCAGTTACTGAAAGCGGAAAATCAAATAACTAAGAACATACCCTAGGTGATATCCAAACAGAATTGCTCCTAGACAAGCAACACCAACATAAGGGAACACAGATCCGGATGATTTCACTTGAATTTTGGCAGGTGCAACATCCTCGACATCTCCTCCTTCACGAACGGTGATTTTCATTGTAAGAAAAGCAGTTAGAATATAATAACACGATGATGGTACTTGAGTGTGAAAATATAAAACAGAAGAGTTAAACACGTATGAAGATTGGAACTGGAACTAGGAGAGAAATTATCTATACTGACAGCGTCTTGCTTTACTAAAACATTTGGATAGCATTTTTATATATTGCTTTACAAAAATATATAAATATCACCGACCCGTGCAATATGCAGCTAAAAACAAATAACCGTCGTAAATAAGCCACTGGCAATTAAGGAAAAAAAAGCCATCAAGCATAGTTGAACACTTTATCACTAACTAAGAAGTATGGTGATTCTTAGAAGGTACTGGAACTTTGGACATTAAAACAAATACAAACATCTAATGATAGGACGGAGAAGGGCCTCCAGTGGTTTTGCTAGTCCGTTACTCCAAGTCCTAGTACCTCGAAGAATTACTCATACGATGCATTACCACAATATCTTTTACAGCAGTGCAATTGAATTGTACTAACCTTACATCCGTTAATTCGTTTAGTGGAAGTTCGAAAAAGCTTACAGTTTATAACTAGAATAACTACATATTATACTGCTTAAACTCAACTTTGAGCAAACATTATTGAGAATTCAGTTAGACGAAATATACGCACCAGAAGATTGAGCTCTGACTGATCTGGCCTTGACCGATGATCCGAACAAACCTCGGACACTCCCTTCCATTTTTCCCATTGAAGTCGAACCAAAGCTAATTCCCAAGCAATTGTTTCTCTTTTTCATGCGTAGATAGCAGCCTGCAAACGCTGGAGTTTGATTTCTCAAATCAAACTTGCTTGGCAAAAGCCTACGGCTTTGGAGGCCAAACCCCGATATTGGTTTGAATGCACAAGTGGAAGAAGCTTCCATTGTTCCCATTAATCTGAACGGTCAACGCTGAATTCGTACAACAGGGGAAAGTCAACAGAAGGATATTATTTAAAAAAATAAAAATTGCAGCTTAATTACGCACGGTGGTGGGGTTGCAGAGAGAAATAATACCCCCTAAGCACATGAACGATAGATACAACGGTAAATACGTGTGATTAATTCACATGAACATCAAATAATTGGGGGAAAAATGCAACGATCCGAAACAAACAGGAAAATGAGATGATTAAATCAGAGGAAAACGAAGATTAGTGAGATTCAGTTTCACCTAAGCCAAATGCGAGTGCGGAGAAAGTACAATCCGAGAGCGATTCGTTAGCCGCTTCCGCCGTGTGTGTGTGTGTGTGTGTGTGTGTGTGTGTGTGTGTGTGTGTACTGTGTGTTGAAGTGGTGGCGGTGGCGTGGAGATCAGAGTGTGTGTTGGCGGAGGGAACTTTGAAGGATCCGGAGAATGAGATATAATGATATATTATTATTTTTTTTATTTTTTTTTAGTAAAATATAATTATTAATTATGTTTAGTAATACTAATATTTTTGGAAAATAAGTAATCCACTTTCATATTATCGGCATTTGCCGGCTCGTGTCTATCTTAGGCTCTTATCCAAAGTGTCCGTCAATAGATTGGGATGTGTTATGGTATCGAGCTAAAGTTAGATGCTACGTCTCATCGATCTAGTGAATATAAATTGTAGATTGATTAAATTACTAGAAATAAACATGTGTGTATGTGATTGATTATGTGTAGATTTACAGTTCAAATTGAACAAGCGTAAATAACCAAGAGTAGCGTCTAATTTCTCAATACTGAGTAATGTGTAAACTATGGCTATTTATTATCTCGTATATTTAATTAAGTTATATTATATCATGTCACATATGTAACATATTTTTGGTGATATATTATGTAATAATCGATCCTCATACAATATTTTTTTTTGTTAATTAATGTGATTTCTTAGTGAAAAGAAAATTATGGAATTAATTATTATTTTAAGGAAAAACGAGAATTAATTACTAATTAAAATTGAAAAGAAAATAGGAGGTGGTGTAGCGAAGGTTTTGGTTTTGGAAGTATGTATGTGGGATTTTGAGTTATTGCTGAGATTAGATTTTGTCATTTTGAGCGTTGGAGATGTCGCGGGGCCGCACGTGACGCGGGTGCACGCAATATGACTTTTAGATGTGACAGACATCGCCACGTCACGTGGGTCCCACTTTCATCTGGAGTGGGGCCCTTCTTCTTGTATAATTGCCAGATTGGAACATGAAGATAAGTTCAAATCTCTCTCTTTTTCAAATAATTTCAAATCTATGAAAGAAAAACTAACGGAGTTAGGATTTTAAATCATCGTAGTAGGCTGAATGCATTAAAAAATCTCTAAGGGCGACTGTGGATATTGTACACATAAAAAAAATTACATAAGATAATAGAGATTGAGATGTGTTAGTGGGTCATAGCTCATTGACCCTGTACTGATTCCGCCACTGAAAAGGAATAACAAAGAAGTTGTTTCGAGATCTGCTTAGGTTTGATTGAGTTTCAAATCTCAATTGTAGAAATGTTGGACCTAGTGTTATTTTGATTGGGTTAATCTCTTTCTAATGTTTCTTCAATTCTTGAAAAATGTTGATTTCAAATCAAATGAGGCTTCAATAGCTAAACCATAGTCAAATTCGTCACTTTCAAATGCATTCTTGCAGTTAAATAAAAAAAAATGCATTCTTGTAGACTTATCAATCATGGTAATCCAATAATTAAAAATGGCGAGTTAACTCTTTTACAAATATATGTGAATGTGTATTATTTCAACTCAAATATTATAATTTATAAATACCATAAAATTCAAGTGGGGTTTAAAAAATGTTTTTTTTTTTTTTTTGTAATAAATGAATCTGTAACCAATTATAGGTGTACTGGGTAAATCAAATCTCCACTCTCGTATAGTAGTTTGCACACAATACAAGAGACGAAATTAACCATGTGTGACAAGTTCGACCTACTGACCGTTGACGGCTGTTAAGAAAATGAATTTGGTAGTACAAGAAGTGGACCAAACTTATTTCTTCTTTTGGGCTTATCAATCTTGTGAAATTTGGGCCTCTATAATTGTTTCTTACTCAAATCTTTAGTCGTTATCATTCGTTACCCATACAATTTCACAATTTGATATGAAAAGCTATAACATGGCCACATTTGTCACAATCTTATAATCACAAAATAATGTATTACTCTAGATAAATTAAATACATCCAACTATAAATAATAATATATATTTACCAATTAGTGGGTCCCACAAATAAATTGATGGCAATCATCAAAAAGAGAAAAAAATGAAATACAAAAATGGCTGGCATATGGAGCTTTTAGAGCTTCTTATAATATGGAGTGATAATCACTTAGCTTTAATAAAAGTGATTAATTTGCCATAAATAGCATACCAAACTTGTCAACTAAAGAAGCTAGAGGCTAACTAACTTTTCAGAAATCTATCGACCAACCCCTTTCGGTTATTTTTATGCTACATTCAGTGAAAAGTATATTGAGCCGTTTCAATCAATCAGTATCTTTTTACGTGCGATTTGCCAATTATTGTATGTGAATAAAAATTTTCTAGTACGGAATTATTCTGAAAATCTCCTATAATTACTATTAATTTTGTTCAATCACAAAAAAATAATAATAATAATAATAATAATAATAATAATAATAAATATAAAGCTGAGTTAATTAAGATAATCATCTGTTCTTACTCCGGTCTTTTCCGCCGGAAAATATTAAACCCAGGCCAAAGAGATTGGCCGGAGTAACATTCAGAACTGGATTGAATTTAACCCCGTTACTGCTGTAAGAACCGTAGCTGCTCTTCTTCAATGGCGGTTTTTGGTGATTAGTTGACGAAGAATGCTTCAGGGAACTGTTCGCGGTGGAGCATTTCGCGAAATTCTGCTTCTGATTGTTCGAAACCTGCGACGACCGCTTAGCGCCGCCGCCGCCGCCGCCGGCGATCGGAGTCGAGCCGGTCGAATTGCTCCGCGACAAAAGCGGCAGCGGGCATAGCTTCCTCGCGTAGTCGCTTCCGCAGTTCAAGCTCGAGCTTCGCTTGAACCCCCAAAACGACGACGTTTTGTTGTTGTTCTGCTTTTCTTCTTCAATTTCCGGCGGCGGCGGCGGCGGAGCTGCTCTTATTGGCGAGGGAGGAGGTAATTTTTTCTTGATCTCGATCGGGAGGATCTTGCCGTCGAAGAAAAGCTCGTCGGCGGAGGAGGAAGAATATTCCTGCTCGAAGCTTTCCCGGAAAACGCAGAAGTCGAATTCAGTGGCGGAATTTGTTGATCGGGTGTGGTGTTCGGCGGCGGCGGGGACTACAACGGCGTCGTTTCGTGAAAGATCGTGTGAAAAGGAGATTCGGGCCGGGCTCATAGCCACGTTCGGGCTGTCGGGTAAAACTTCGATCTCCATCGCCATTTTCGGATCCTTATCGAGAAGGACGCTGATATATATATGGATGGGAAGAAGTTAATATATATATATATATATATATATATATATATATATATATATATATATATATATATATATATATATATATATATTATCAATTAGTGAAAAATACACATAATTAACTTGAAAATGGACAAAAACAAAACATTAATAAAATATTTTGCATGCAAGATTTGATTAATTAATTAATTATTCATTGGACAAGTAATGAAGGTAGTGGAGTGGGTACGAATTCAATTTTGAGGACTTTTTTCAAGAAACCAAAATTGAAAATTCAACACAAATAGTAATTCTGTACATATAAAAGTCACACTACACTATTTATAAGATGAACAGTTGACCGTTGACGCAGTTTTACAAATTCACTATAATTTAATTCTTGTCACTTCATTTAGAACAAAAAAATTAGTGAAAAAAATAATTTAATTCAATATATTTATATTTAATATATGTTAAATTATTTTCTTTTTCTCTTGAAGATCAATGAGCCAAGCAAACCATTTATTACTCTCACCTTCCCTCAATAGTTGTCACTTTTGTTAGTTGCACACATATTAAGAAACTCAATAAGTATGCATGGATAGTAGCAAAAAGTATAGTAAATCACTAAAATGCTCATGCCATTAATTGATTTTTAAATAATTATATTTCAATTAATTATGAGTGAGGAAGGGCAAAATTGAAAGATTGCAATTAATTATTCATTGGAATAGTAAAACGACAAATAATTTGAAATATGAAAAAAATGGCAAAAGTGACAAATATTAAGGGAACGAGGGAGTAATTGCGAGGCCTCGTACTGCAGATTGCATTGGTTGGTCCTTGAGCTGTCTTACGGAGCTCTTTGATCCAACATCAGCAAAGGCAAAAGTAACATATTTCTCGTAATTGAATTTACACGAAATAAAGGGTGGCAACATATAGGGATTCTAGTGTCGTTATATTAGCGATTGATGGACATACGTACTACCGATATTACGTTTATTTTCGTTGCACCAAGAGGAACAACAATCACGCAGCGCGCTCATGAAGTAGCTCGACTTTCACTCGAAGGTTTCTACCTTCAGTCGACCTTGTCCAATGTAATTCAGAATATTGTAAACTCCAAGATTGATGCTGAATAATTCCAAGTTTTTCTTCTAAAAAAAAAAAAGTTAATCAATAAGCAATTTTAGATGTTTTATAGTTCCAAAAATTTAGCATTTTTGTAACTATTTAAATGAAATAATTATATGTGTATCGTGGCAGCCCCTGCCCCATCCATGGGTGGTGTGGGGGGTGGGGGACAAAGTAATGAGGAAGACTTGTTTTTATTTATTTATTTATTTATTAAATAAATTATATATTTTTTTTCCTTTAGTGCAGAAGTGGGACATAATGAAGACAGACATGTGCACCAAACAAACCAAAAATCATTATTTGGTAGCATTTGGTATATGTCTGCTGTTATTTTACTTAGCAAATTGAAATTCCATTAAATAATCCCTAAAAGAATTAATTAATGCTGATTTATTATTTTAAAATTGGATTTTAAACGAAACTATACGAAGAAACATATGAAATCATTATTAATAATATTATAATTGAAAATAAAAATAAGTAGTGCTGGTTAATTGTTCAAAAGGGTTAAAACGGTAATTTAAGTGCCTGACCCACCTGGAGTTTGGAGCAAGGAAAACGGGTCAAGTACCTATACAAACTAAAAGGGCCCAAAACCCATTTATATACTTCTCTTCTCTTCCCACTGTGGGGCCCATTACATTTATTTATATTTAATAAATTAACTCAAAGATAATTAATAAATATCTTGTTCGATTACATATATCGGATTAGTTCAGATTAATTTTTCTATGGATTAATTAATTTACTCGTGAGATATTTGATTTTTTATATTATATTTATTTTAAAAATTGTTATCACTAATTTTACCGAAAAATATCTTTTAATTGCGGACTTCAATTTTTATAGCCGAGTTAAATATAACTAATTAATTAATATGAATAAATGTCGCAAAAACTAATGATAAATAAAGAATTTAAAGGATAGTGTTCTACTTTTATTTATTTATTATTATTATTATTAATTTATTATAATATCCATCTTTATGTGACCAGTTGTCCATGTGACCAAAAAATAAAAGAAACAACTATATACCATATTCCCACTTCAAAGTCTCTATCCCAACCACTTTTTATGTGTGTTCTTCTTAATTATCATGAAATTCTAGGTTAAAATTGTACTCGGATTAATATTAATTGACAATTAGATTCGAATCTGAGTCACTTAATACAAGGCTACTGACTTTAACTGCTAGATCATTTTTGCGGGACTCACAAGCTTCAAGTTGATTTTAACGACATATGATACTATAAACGAATAATAAGAAAGACCTAGTTGGTGGAGAAAGAAACGTGAGATTGAATTTATCGTCCTATTTTGACGAAATTGTCAATTTTTTTCCATTGATTTTCGAATACGAATTTTTTTTATCGACAGACATTGTCTCATTAGACTTTTGATTTTGCATATTTAGACGATGTCTGTAAAAACTTATTCAAATGCAAAAGTTAATGATTGTGAATTAAAGAAGTACTAAGTACTTAATTCTAAAAGTTGCATGTGCTTGCAAATATTATGGAGAACGAATTCAAGAATTTTTAAAATTTCAATTTTAATTTTAACGTTAGTTATAAGGTCCATCCCTTTTTTTTTTTAAGAGTAAATTCAAGTGAATTAATTATAAGGGAAAGTAGGAAGCTTCATCATTTTCTTAATCAAAAGAATTTCCCACCGAAAAGTCAACGACTAAACGACAAAAGTCGTTTAAGGGAAAGGGCGATTGTCTGCAATCAATCCCATACTATCCCCCATACACCTCCATCGTTCCTCTTCTTCCTCGTAATCCGAATTCTCTAATACATTAAATTAATAATTAATAAAACCTTAAATAAATCAAAGCTTTATTACTTCCTCCAATTGGGCTCTTGATTTGCCCACCTCAGTAAACTATTTCTCACCATTCAAGATTCTTGATATTTATTTTTTTTTTATTTTTTTTTTAAATTAAAAAAAAAAAATCAGTAATTACAGCATGAATCCGAACTGGGAGCTGAACAAATGTTGTCGGCACGAACAAGTGGTATTTCTTGCCAGCATTGGTATCTTCACTGTTGTTATTCTCGCTGTAAGTATTTCTGATTTTTTTTTTTTTTTTTTTTTTGCTGTAGATAAAAGATTAGAGGATCTTTATGCAAAATGTATATCCCCTGTTCTTGTGATTTTGCTCTTTGATCCTTTCTACTCTGCACCTATTTTCAGTAATTAGAATTGAATAAATTATATAACCCGGTTCAACCGAGTTGAACCGGTCCAGCCGAGTTGACTCGGTCCAACCCTGACCTGTTGGATGACCGGTTACAATGGTGAAACTAATAGTATCAAAATCTTGATGATGTTAATTAATCTTCACTTATTTTTGAAGCCCAATTGAGATTTCTTAAAGTATTAATTCGATTGGATTCGTTCAACGTTTAGAGATATCGAGCTTAGTCTAGTGTAATTTAATTTGCACATATTTATTTATTTTAATCTAATTCTTTTCGAGGGCGATTTTAACGTACAGTTATGGAGGACGTTTCTACTAACCCCATTTAAGCTCATAACCGTATTTCTTCACGAAGCTAGCCATGCGATCGCTTGTAAACTTACATGCGGCGAGGTAGGAATTAATCTTTTATTACAAGCGGTAGTTAATAATTAGTTTAGAACTTGTCCGAAAGCTTTCGTTTAGCAATGCATGTTCAAATTCAATAAATACATACTTAGGTAGAAGGTATGCAAGTTCACGCTAACGAAGGCGGCATGACTCAAACACGTGGCGGTGTGTATTGGCTGATCTTGCCAGCTGGATGTAACGCTCTTTTTTCCCTTCGGTATTTCATTTTTATTTTTGTTTTGCTGAATTTAATTATTTCGTTTGTTATAAATAAAATAATGCTCCCTACTATATATATAGATCTTGGTTCGTCGTTTTGGGGTATGGCACTCATACTCGCATCGACAAATCTGCTCGCAGCAAGAATTGCTGCTGGTTGTCTTATTCTTTCCCTTCTCATTGTGCTCTTTATTGCAAAAAACGTAAGTATATTCTTAGAGAATATTCCTTGGGATTTACCGATTTAGTGTCGTATTTTTATGTCTAATAATGTATCTTACTAATTCCGTTTTTTTTTTTGTTTTTGTTTTTTGGCAGTGGACATTGAGAGGGCTTTGTATTGGTAGGATAATTAATCAATCTTGTATTTTAATCTTGAAATGACTTTAATTTCATCGAACGCGATATAATTAATCGTTAATGTGCGTTAATTTGTCAGGATTTATTATTTTTATTGCTGTTATCTGGGTTCTGCAAGAAACGACTAAAGCGCGTGTCCTTCGCTACATTATTCTTTTCATTGGTATAAAAGTTTATCCTTTTTATTATACATTCAACTCGATTTTCCATTAATATTTCTTTACGACTTTTATGTTTCTTACGCGATTTTCTCTCTCTTGAAATGGCAGGTGTTATGAATAGTTTGTTCTCGGTTTACGGTACTAATTTCACTCGCTATCGCCAATAATGTATACATATGTATATATATCTAATAATAAAATATAATGCAGATATATACGATGATTTGATATCTCGAAGAGTTCACACGAGTGATGCTGAGAAGTTTGCTGAACTTTGCCCCTGCTTTTGTACTGGAGTTGGGTGGGGCGTCATTTGGTATGTATATTTACAATTGAATATCGGATATTTATTCATAATCTGATAGCAAACGATGATGTTATTGTCGTTTCTTAATACTCGATTTCTGCCAAAAAAACAAAAAAAAAAAAAAAGAGTAAAAATCATTGCATACTAAACTCGTCGATAAAACTTCATTGCAGGGGAATAATATCATTAGTATTTCTTTCTGGAGCAATATATCTTGGACTTGTCATCTTGTCTTGAGGTACGTTCATCTTGCAATATTCGTTTTTCGTACGGATATAAAACTATTTATCTAACGAGTGTAAATAATACTATTGCAAGCCATTGTTGTTGTTCCTAATTGTTTGTCCAACTTTTAGGTGTTCTAATAACAAATCATTGTGTGTTTGTGTGTTTTGTGTTTAGGGTTCAAATCATGGCCTTGGTTTTTTCTGGTCATATTGAGGAGCCAAAGACTGCTTTTACTTCATTTAATTTATTCATCAAATTCGTTCATACGACAGCAGAACCTCGATAGATTAATACTTGATGAATTAATAATCTCGCTTAATTAATAATTTCTCGTAGTCCCGACTCGGTGAAAATGTATTACATTATTAGTTTGATAACTTAATATTTCGATAAATTAATATAATTTTGCTAGCCCAGACTGTATTAATTTGTAAACGTTTAACTGTATATTGAAATCGGAATATTGACGTTTTGCTTTATGGGTTTACTCTAATTTTGCATGTTGGTTAGTGTACAATCAAACTTAAACTCATGTGTGCCTATTGAATCAAATGAAGCAGAAAATGGCTGATAAAACTTTGTTCAACATAATACAACATAGATTAATTTAAGGTTTTTACCTAAACTTACAATTGGGCAATATGCTGTAATGGAAGTATCCCTACTCTGACTATCTGACTAACTCCATAAACCTCCATGGATCAAATTTCCTGTGTTTTAGAGCTAAATTTGTCTTAAATAAAAAATGGCTGTTTCTAATGTAGCTTCTGGCAATAGCAATTGCGAGAGAATAGATCGAGAATCATATGTCCAAATCATCATCAGGGTCCTCATCTGAATCTGGCATCTCATCATCTGAATCACGAAAATAGACGATTTCGCCCTTGCTCGAGTCTAGTTTCTCAACAGAAGTGTTGGTGTCATCCAGAGATTTGCGGCCATCATATATTTCAATATTTTTACCGTTTCCTTTGGTAGGCACAAATTTAAGCTCGTCAATAAAACTCACAAGCGAAACAAGAAAATTATTCACAAAAATATTTATACGCATTTAAAAAAATGCTTATGTACCTTGATGCTCAAAAGGAAGAACAACTTTTGCCCTGTCATCTCGTTCCTTTTCAGACAACTGCAGATTGAACTGGACCTGCCAAGAAACGAGTATTTTCTCATCTGGGAATATGTGTAATGTGTAGCGTATAATTTACTAATGGCATCAGAGAGCAAGTATAACTGTATAAGTAAGTCAAGCTACCTTAGGCACTAGGCTTTGAGCAATTATTTCATTTTCTGAAGAAACGGGTGCGAATTTGATGCCTGATTTTTCGACGTGAAATTCTTCAAACTAACAACATTTGAGAGTAAAATATATATATATATTTCTTGTTAGAGACTGCGAGTAATAAACATGTATTGAGGTAAAGACATAGAAGCATAGAGGAGTACCATCATTCGAACACGTCCGTTTCTACGTTTAACATGCACACAGAACCTTCCTCTTCTTAAATTACGTTCCATCAAAGAAAGTCCTCTTTGTCTATCCTCGGGCAGAACAATTGGTTCTATAGTAGCCTTCATAGAGGATATATACTCGAGAGCTGCAGTAGCCCGTTTCTCATGCAGATCAGAGTGAAGTGACCAGAACAAGCTAAACACTCGGTCTGAAATCAAGCAAAAGAACAACCGAAGGGTTTAGCTTGGGACTCAGATTCAGTAGTACAATTTTCTCTTTCTCCTTTCGAGTTTTTATGAATTTATTGACGAAGATAAGATAGTATTCCATCCACTTCGTTTATCTGAGATACTGATAAAAGGAGACTTCATACTCATGCAAAGACAACTATACAAAGTTTGCATCATAAAAAACCACCAACAAATGAATGCTTCTACAAGTAGAGAGGAACGAGTACAAAACTCAAAATCGAGGGGAAGCCACCTTTCACTCAACTAAGTGGCCAAGAAGACTAATCACATACAAATAGAGGCTGCATTTCAATAATAATAAGCCATTTTATTCTAATAAACTATGGGATTAGAAAAATACTCTAAACATAAAATTTTCAATTGGAGCCTTAACCAAGAATAATGAATTTTGTCTTCAAAGAATCTCAAGTTAGTAAGAAATTCTACTAAAAGTGGATTAACTTCGTCATAAGACAGAGCTAATTATCTGGAATCAACACGATACTTTTACAGCATATAAAAACTGAAAGTAAATGAAATGCTAAAAAAGGACGCCACGACCCTGATGAAAAGAGAATTTACACACGGCTAATCTTTAAGCCAATCTGACACCATTTTGTTACAGCAACAAATTTTTCTTTTACGAGTTAGACTGAAGGAGTTATTAACTGTTTGATACATTATTTTTCTTTTACGAGTTCGACTGAAGGAGTTATTAACTTGTTTTCAAAAAGAAACGTGCCTTTTGTTCTGGCCTGAAGTTTTTCACTTGCACAACTGGTCAATCTACATAACAAATACTATTAAATATTAATGATCTAAACTAGGTGGACCGCTGCTGATTGTGGTTGGATAGTAGTGTATTCCAGGAAGTAGTGTCCCGAACTCTCTAATTTGGAATACTCCTTCATTTTCTCTTTTTCATTTTGGAGTATGACATTCGAGATTCCATTTAACTATGACCATTACATTGTACAGTAAGTGACTATAGGAACAACACTATGACACAACCAGCACAAATCTTCTGGAAAATGTAACTAGAACACGTAACACACTAACACATACGACTTCTATTGTTACAGACATAAGATAATAATTTCTGCATAATACTGTGATCCAACTTCAACCGAAACTTGACATGGTCACAAACATTTCTGGCGTAAACAATAATCATATTTCTTAGTTAATCAAAACGAAATTACATACCATGACTCCGAAGGTTGCTTATATGTGCAGCAACTGTCAACACAGATGTATGTCTTAGCATCTCACTGATCTGGGAACAGAATCGGAAACGTACACAATAGTCGAGCATTATTAGGTGTACTGATAGATATATATGTTGATTAACTGTTAAATTAATCTTAAAAAGCCGAAAATTCTGAAAAAACGAAATTACCGAATCTATGGCAATCACAAACCGGCCCTTTCCATCTCCAGACAGTTCTGCCACAAAACGACACCACATTTGTGTTATCATAAAACTCATCTATTTAAAATTACTTAATTACATAAACCGCAAATTAGTTGCATATACTAGAATCGATACCTTTCCCAAGTTCAAGAACTGACGACAATATCGCATCCAAGTCCTTAACGTTTTTACATAATTTAACCTGTACTGAAGATCCGGGAGATAATTGCTTTACGCTCCCACTTTCCACGAGCTTGCTTTTCCAACCCAACGGATCCGTATAACAATCCAAAACCTTAAACCTAATTCAATTTTACATTCACAACCAATAATTCATCAAAAAAAATTACCAAATTTCTGGGGAGAAAAAATAAGGGGATTCAAAATTGCAAACCAGGTATTTGAAGAGACGACGTCAATTCCTTTGCTCTTCAACAATTGCTCGTAGTACAACGGACTCTGGGCAAATGCAACCAACACAATACCACTGCCGGAGGAGCAAACAAAATCAATTGCATAATCACAGTATTAGAAGGAAGCATAAAATTAAAGAAATTTCGGATTAAAATTAAAGAAATTTAGGGCGAAAATGAATTTGGACTGACTTTGAGGGAGATTTTTGGGAGACAATGAACGAGGAGAGCTGAGAGAGGATGTGATCGAAGACGAAGGGGGCTAAGGAACAGCTGATTGTGTCGTTAATGGTGAGAGCGGGTGCATGCTCCCCTTCTAAACCGCCGTCTCGCAGCGTTCGGCAAACCCACTCCGCCATTTTCCGCCGACGTGGTGGCCGGAGATTCTGGTGTTGGCTGAGAAGTTAAAACCCTGGTGTTGGGGTTTCGACTTTCGATTATTTATTTGCAACAATTTTAATTAAGTACTCGTTTATATTTTATATTATGATTCGAAACCTAAATATTTGTCTAAATTAAAAAAAAATGGCTATTTTAATTTTATTGAAATGAAATATCATATTATGATCAAAATACAAATATAAATAATTGATTCAATTTTGTTTTTCCTAAACATCTTATTTTAGCAATTTTGTGTTACATTTTAACGAATTGATTAATTTGTATTATGGATCAATTTCTAAAAAGCCCTTCGACACAAATATTCTTAACTAAAAGTATTCAAGAATGATAAATTATGAATGAATGAATTACATTTTTAATATTAGATAATTCGAAACATCGCAATTGTAGGCATATTAACCCACTTTATTTGTCGACTTTATGTGACTGAATATTTCTTTCAAACATGAGTTCGAGATAAGGTATCAAACCTATGAATTTATTTGATTTTTGATTTTGTTTGAACGTAGAAAGACTACAGAAGTAGACTAATAAGACTCTACTTCAGATTCGAATGAAGGAAATATATAATCAATTTTTGTTTTCCAGATATCTCAATTTATCAAATTATAAAACAAGTGTCTTCTTTTGATGAATCACTGAAAGAAGTACTTTAAAGAATGAATATTGTTGATATTCTGATAGGAAAGCATTCGTAATTGTTCATTTATTCACGTATATCTTTCTCATCGGCATCCAATCTTGCTGAATCAAGTTAGATTATTAAATTAACTCAAAAGACTACAAATTATGCTAAACTCAGACTAGAAAATATTCAAATTTACATTTGAAATTGAAATGTATTAGTAAAATTGAAACGATATAACCATAAGTAATCCATACTATCTAAAGAAATTAAAAAATAAAATCCCATGAGTCACATTTGTAATACTTTGAGCCCATCAGTGAACTAATCCTGTGGATCAGGCTTTTTGGGCTGTACCTAATTCTTACTGCTATGCTTTCGCTGAATTGGCCCAACCAGAATTTACTATTTTATTAATATTTCTATTATTATTATTATTATTATTATTTATTTATTACTATGTTTAAGTTTTTTCAGAAACAAAACAATTTATACAAAAAATATATTTAATTATTAATTATAATAAATAAATAAAAAATCTTGATTGATAAGATGTAAAATGTGATTCCTGGAATATTGGAACATCCGTTAGAACATGTAGTCCTCAGTCATAGAACGTGGTACAATGTCCAAGTACACCTAAGAACATATATTAAACAATTTTTATTTAATTAAATGCTTAGGATTCGTTTAGCTAGTAGTTAGCTCCACAATTTTCTTTGTGTTAATAAATTAAATTAAATTAGTTAAATCATGTGGGAGTGAAGTGAATCATTTGGGACCAACCCAATTGTTAATTCGAACCCCATGCAACGTGTATTAATTAAATTAAATTAAAAATAATGATGATGGTATAAAGAAATGTGCAATTATAAGGTACAACTACCATCAACCGTTTATTTATTTGAAGATTCCTACACCGCAAATGGGATCAAATAATTGAAGTAAATCTTCTTGATTAATTTAAAATTAGATTCACATTTATTGGACTATTAACAAACGTCAATTTGTGTGAAAATGTTCCAATTTGCTCTATAGTCCATACAACTTTATTAAAAGAATTAATAAAGAAATTGTCACGCAAGGATGGTATAGCGGTTGGAAATCACAAAAGAAAAACCTTTTTATTTATTAATATTTGGTGCGTGATACGGGTTTTATTCCGATAGAAGGCATCTCGGCGGTGATGAATTGTTACTTTCAAAATGCGTTTTCGGCACAAAAATCCGTATATAGAGAGAAAAATGAAGCATCCGATTCGATACAAAACTGAAAGGCACGCTTTTCACATTGTTCTAAGATGCCCCAAAAAAAGTGGTTCAACAACCAGCTAAGCGCATTTATCTTATTAGCGACAATGACTTTGATTTCATCGACGATTACCTTTTGGATATCACCAATTTCCCACATGTATAATATTAATTATTTTCAATAGAAATCCAAATTATTAAATTCCATTTCACACTAACCTATGGACCAACCGCTTTTTATACACTTTCATAGGATCGTCAATTGAGCCGAGTCTACCCGAAATCCGATTTTATTTGAGTCGCGCCTAATTAACTATGAATCGGGTTGAATTTGATACATTTTATTAAATTTAATTCATTTATGAGTCGAGTTTTAGCTTACAGTAGCTCAATCCTACTAAGGCCCCTTTAACCTCTTTAATTCATGATTATTCTAGATTTTTCTTTTCGGTTGCAAAGTTTTTATTAATTTATTTTCGACCACGTTCAACTACAAATTTATAAAGTATATAATTGTTTGATATAAGGCCGATATGAACCTGAAAAGATACACAAGCCGAGTTTGAGCCTATAGTAATGAGACAAGATGTATATGAGTAATGAACTTGCTTTGATGGCGTGTGAGATTGAGTCAACCCAAATTCGACTCGCGTGACCCGATTGACAGCCTTACACCTACGAAAAAATTAGATATATATATATATATATATATATATATATATATATATATATATATATATATATATATATATATATATATATATATATATTATACACGCTAATAGAAATTATTATTTAAATTTGTTATGCTTGATTAAATTTATTAATTATGTCATCGCCCAAGTCTCAAACACGCATGGTTCCATAACGACTTACACAAAGATTCGAGAATAATTTAGTGAAAAAATATTATATAAATCGAAGAATTATATATCTCTGCTAGAAGGCGGCTGTATGGAAGGAATCAAATTTTGTTTTAATTATTATTATAAAATTAGTTATTTAAATTAAAGAAGGTTCACAACATGCAGGATCTACAATAATAAATTGAAGGTGCGATATTGAAATTTATGACACCTTGGTATCATCAATATGGATGATATTTTTCTACCAACGTTTATGAATTATGACGACTTATTTATTATTAGGGTAACTTATAAAAATATCAATTTTTTTTTTACTTTAATTACTTATTTAACTATTTATTTTTAATAAGAAATACGTAATATTTTTTTTTTTCTAAAAACAACAATCAGTCACAATTTGTAAAATGTAACATTTATAATAAATAGATAATTCTAATTTATTCGACTGTGTAATTGTACATCTCGTGTAAAACTAGCATGTATTTCATGTAGCACACATAAGACCCTTTGTTGCAAATAAAAATTAAAATAAAACCTTTTAAGAAAATATATAAAAGTACCCAAATGCCAACAGAAATAAATAACCACCGAGGACCAAATAATAAAAAAAAAAATGGAGCCAAATTAATATCAAATATCAATCCACAAGTTGCTTATGGGGGGGACCACGCTGACATTGCCTAGGAATGTAGACCCGAAACTGTCAAACGCCGTTACAGTAATTCTTGACGACTAACCCCACCGAGTCACCGACTCACCGAGTCATTGCCCACCGTTACCGTTAACCATTATCCACCATAATTACCCACCGTTGACACCTCATTGATACGTAGGACATAAATCCACCGCATGGATCTTAAATCTTAATTGACATTTTTCGGAAACGAAAATTTATGGAATAAAAAAAATTGAATCCAATCAAAGGAAATTAGAAAATCTGTTTTTTATACACACTATGGTGGTATTTGCAAATGATTATTTAAAAGCAAAAGTTAGTGATTGTGATTTAAGTTAGTTTTAAGTGCTTATTTCTAAAAGTTGGGGGTGTTTGCAAATATTTCGGAAAATGAACTAAAATTGAAAAAGCAGGGTTAGGGGTGCTTTTAAAAAAATAGCTTAAAGTAAATTATTTTAAGAGAAGCAAAAGCAAAAATTGATTTTGCAAACACCTAAAAACAGATTATGAGCAAAAAAAACCGCATAATCACTTTCAAAAAGCATTTGCAAACACCACCTATATATAAGATATACGATAAATCTGATACTGTAAAAATGTAATTTACATAAAAAAAGTTTTATAACTTAGGAATTAATAACTATTTTCCAAAACAAAAAATTAGATTGAAAAATCATAAAATGGGAAGTCAAAATTTTTAACGTTAACGTCAAAACAGTATATTCGTCTTCCGTCATCTCTCTCTCTCTCTCTCTTCTTTCTCTCTCTAGCCATTTCCCTCTCAATCGTTGCCTTCAAAAGGCCAACTCCGCTCTCTTTTTCCAATGGACTCAAACTCGCTTTTCCTCATCTACTCTTCATCATCTTCATCTTCTTCTCTGTGATATCTGAATTCAATTCCGATGGGGGTTGACAAACCAGGACTCGTCAAACTGAAGTGCGCCGTCAAAAACTACGACTGGGGCAAGGTTGGGGAAAAATCCTCCGTCTCGCGCCTCTACGCCAACAACAGCCGCGCCGAGGTGGACGCCGATTCCCCCTACGCCGAGTTCTGGATGGGGACTCACGACTCAGGCCCCTCCTACGCCGCCGTACCAAACGGCGATTCGGAGGAGAGGAGAGACAACGGCTTCAAGCGCGAAAATTCCAACTCAGTGAGTTTGAAGGATTGGATTGACAGAAACCCTGCTGTGCTTGGGGATAGGGTTTTGGAAAAATGGGGCCCCAATCTCCCCTTCCTCTTCAAGGTAAACAACAATCGATAATCATCGTCCTTAATTTAATTTAATTTTTTTAAAATTGTTCGTAAAATTTCTCTGCGAATTTATTGAAATGATTGATGAATTTAAGAAACCAAAATAAAAATAAAAATTACATGCTGTTCTTTTTAGGTACTTTCTGTGGCGAAGGCGCTTTCAATACAGGCCCATCCAGATAAGGAATTGGCGGTGATTCTGCACAAGCAACAGCCTGGGGTTTATAAAGACGATAACCACAAGCCGGAGATGGCGTTGGCGCTCACGGAATTCGAGGCTTTGTGTGGGTTTATTGGTCTTGAGGTAGTCTTATTACCTGTTCATGTCGTTGATTTTTTTGGTTTTTTTTTTTTTTTTTGAAAAATGTGTTCGAAGAACCTGCAATTTTGAATCTCTTGAAGATTCCAGATATGGTTGATCGTCGATTTTATCGCGTG